GCAGGAGAGGGGCTGAGGCCTGGCCACTGCGCCTCCCCAGCCCGGATGGCACTCGCGGCCTGGCCTCCACTGCTGCTCAGCTGGGGGCCTCTCCAAACCCGACACCTGCCCCTCTCCTCCCGATGGGCCCCTCGTGGCCCGGCCCATCTCATGTCCTCAGGACGTGCCTGGGGCATCTGAGCCGCCCACAGTTTTGCACACAGTACAGACAGGTAGGAGGGGAAACACTGATTCCACGTGGAAAGGACCACGCTTCGGCTACGCCAGGTAACGTGAGCATCTCCGTCTTCTGGGACGTTTGAAGCTGCACGTGTGGCAGGCGCTGCATCTCTGGGGACAGCCCCCGGCCCACCCCGCAGAAGGCCCACAGGGACCTCTTTCTGATCTGCCCCTGCCCCTTGCCAGTCCGCCCCTCATCTGGTGTGGACGAGATTCCTCACCCTGGATGGACCTGATACACACAGCCCTCAGGACAGGACTGAGGTCTGTGACTGAGTACCCCGGGATGTGGGGTTTGAATAAAGACAAATAATGGCCAGGGAGCTGCTCTGTGCTAGAAACACACCAAGAGGTATCCGAAGTCCTCTGAAGCCTGGTCCTGGAGCCTCCTTCCCTGGGCCCGGTCGGCTCCCGGGAGTTCCCTGCAAAGCCTGGGGTCCCGCCATCCCAGCTCAGGTCACAGAGCTAGTGACAGCTGTCCCACTGCCCGCCTCCTCTGTCACACTGTGGACTCCCCAAATGCAGGACTCCCTCTGCCCAGGACAGGCGTGTCCCTTAGGGAGATGATGGGGAAAAGGGCAAGAGGCTGGGGGCTGTGTTCCTACCCTGACTCCAACTTGCTGTGTGACCCTGGCCCACGGCCTGACTTTCTGTGCAGGGTCTACCCTGACACCTCAGTGGCCACCTAGAGGTGGGCACTGTGATCTCAGGGACTACTCAGGCCCTGGGAGGAAGGCATGGCTGCCACCAGCAGCCTTCTCATCTCCCCTCTCTCTCTCCGAGGGACGAGCTCTCATCACCCCACTTTGTAGTCAGAAACTCAGACCCAGTTCAGGGCCTGTTCTTTTTTTTTTGGTACCCAGGACCAAACTCGGGACCTTGAGCTTTCGAGGCAGGCAGTGGCACCCCTGAGTTAAATCCCCGGCCCCTTAGAGCCTGTTTTTAATTTTCACTGCTGTTCTGCTCCCTTAGGTGGTGAGATTCATGATCTCACCCAGATGGGAGAGAAGCTGAGAGCTTAAGACACTGGCCAGAAGGCACACAGCCAGATAAGGCAGGAGTGGGGCTGAAACTGCTTCTTCTGGAAGCCCAAACTGCACAGCACTGGACAGTGATCCTGTCCAAGCAGGGACATGACAGATCCAGGGCCACGCAGCCTGGCATGCGGGCCTGGGCTCTCACTACTCTGGGTCCCAGGCCCTTCTGCCATGGAGGGAACAGGGAAAGGGGGCTCCCGGGACAGCCACAGGAAGGGGGGGTTGCGTGGGCGGTGAATCTCCCATCAGAAGAGACAGGGACAAAAGGGTGGGAAGAGCCACACGAAGTCCCTGCCAGGGCCTGGAGACCGCGGACTCCGATTCTCAACCAGGAGACCGAGCCTAGCGACTCCCCCCACCCCCGAGAGTCCTGTGGGGTGTGGGGGGGGTCCCGCCTCAATGCAGAAGTTAACATTAGGGAGACCTGTCCCGCACATGCGGAGATGAGGAAAAGTGACAGGACCTTCAGGAGGGGCGAAAGGCAAGGAATAAGAGTGAGGAAAGTGGTTCCAGGAGGTGACAAGAGCAAAATCCCCCAAGAGGCGAGGGAAGCCAGAGGACTCCCACCCGCCGCGCCGTCAAGCTGGAGGCAGCCCTCACCCGCAGGAATGGAGAACGCGATCATGCAGGAGGCCGGGTGAGCGTCGGGGGCCCCGCTCCGCCGCGCAGACACCTCCCCACCGCGCCCGGGGTCCCGGGTAGACCCACTGCTCCAGGAAGAAAACAGGAAATCCCGCCCAGGTGGGAGCCAGAACCGGAAGTCCCGCCTTTGGACGGGTGCGGGGCGCCCAGAACCCCGCGGGTGACCTCCAGCCCCGGGGACGTGGTCCGCCGCCAAGGAAGCATCTCAGGGGGTCTGGACGCCGAAGACACGGCTGTCTAGGATTTGCCTCGGGTCAGACACGACCGTTCCTGGAGAAGGCTCCTTGTCAGAGCTCAGATAAGGGCCACTGGACAATCTCTGTCCTCTGGTCTATGTAGGCCGTCCCCCTCCCCTAAGTTACTCGCCCGGCCAGCGCCCCTTGGCCTCGGGGCTGCCAAATACTCCCCACACCGCGGTTCACAACGCCGCCTCCACTCACGTGCCCGTAGCCAGCATGGCCAGACTGATGCCGTCTCCGCCCTCAAAAGGTATGGCGGCGCCTTGCGTCATTTCCGTTTACCTGCTCCTGCGTTCTGCCCATCCCACCTCCCTGGTCCGAGCTGCCAGAGACCAAAGCGGCCACACGGGCTTCTGCGGAGTTAGTGGGGCGTAAGCAATAGCAAACTGCCCATAAGAAATATGTAGTAAGGGTGAGCAGAAACCAGCCTAGGTCATTTCGATTCACCCTCAAGAAACATGGCTGTTCACGCATGCCTACCCGGGAGCACAATAAACGAAAGCCAGCGACCTGACGTGGCTTATCCATAATCAACTTCCAGAGAAAGGGAAGAGAGGGGTGCCCGTAACAGACATGGCAGCTACACGACTTCATCTGCCCATAACTATACGGGCTGTTCTTCCCTCTAGCCTAGCCCTCCCTTTCAGCACCAAGGATGGCAAAGAGCCAATTGGCCTTTCTCGCTTCGGTGTGCCCAGCTTCAAGATGGCGACTCAGACT